TAAGAAGAGAGCCTTGGCCATGTGTCAGTTGAGCATTTTTTACATTAGCCATACGTAAAGGCATTTCTTTCTTCCTCTCCTAGTCGCCGCTTAAAGCACCAGGGCCACAGCCATGTGTGAATAATCACACAGAGGGCCTCAGAGGTGCCCTCGCCGCCTTACAAGAGGCTGGGTGCAAGGGCAGATGGGGGAGGCACAAGTTGAAGAAGGTGTGTGTTTGTGTGTGGCGGAGGAGGGGGGGTTGTGTCGTAAACGTTCACACGTTGAGGATTTGGATATCCTCACGAGCTTGTCTCATTAGCTGCTAACTGGCAAGACTTTCCCCCGTCCTTTGTTCTGCGTAACGTTTGTCTTGAAGAGGATGGTGAAATATACATATTTAAAATGCTCCATGCTCCGCTGAGAGAGTTAAGTCCATTTCACAGCAACATAAACACTTCTGTCCTACCATTAACCTTAAAAAGCAACTGAGTGCAAAACTAAACGCTCAACCCGCTCAAACGAATTAGCACAGAGATCAAGGGAGAGAGTGAGATAGAAAAAAAATATAGAGAAATAACAGTGAGAGAGAGAGAGAGGGGGCAAGAAGCAAGGACAGGGGTTATTTTTTCCCCTTTCCCCCTTTTCCAACTGGGAAATAGTAGAAAAACATCAACACAGCTAAACATCAAATTATTACCAACGCACCCCTCTGTGCTGGGTCCAAAGCAGACATAATGGAGTTGTCATGCAGGAGTATGGCCAATACTTTTCTAGAATTATTCTGAGTATTGCACTCTTTGACAAACATTAAACAAGACAATAAAGTGCATAGGTGAAGGTGTATTTGCCTACAGGCATAAGCGGCTTGAAAGAAAGACAGGAAGCAAGAGAAAATGAGAAAACGGGTCTCCATATTAACAACACAGTTTCCCGACAGTCCAAGTGAATTACACATTTACAGAAGTAGCCACTCAAGGCTGCATGAACCCTATCCTCAAGGCAGAACCTGGCCCTGGTGATTTGAAAGGGAGAGTCATGTGTGCACCTTGAGGATTTTTTTCTGCCATTGTGACTGTCTGTCTGTGTCTCCATCTGTCTCTCACTGCCTCTGTCTCTCTCCCTCACTTTGTCTACACCTTTGATTCTACAGAGATGCAACTGTGCCCTGAATGCAAATAAGGATCGCTTAGATGGCAGGTCAATTGTCCATTCCTGTTACTTTGGACGATTTTATTTTTTTTCTAAAATAAAATTCAGGATTGGATTTCAGGACCAAGTAATTCAGGGCAAACTATGCCTGCTGTAATCTATTTTAATGGGCATCATTAAACTGAATACGCAGAGCTATGTGTGTCTCCGTGTTTGCAGAAGGATTTTTATGACAAGTTGAAGAAGAGAGGATGTATCAATACTTGCTTTTACTGACGAGTGGTATAATATTATGCACTTTAAACATTCCAGACGGTGTTCTTTATTACTAACAGGTGCATGATGTCATTACAGAACTACAATTTATCTTTTTAAGTTGTTTTAAGTTATGGAAAAAAGTGATGTGTTCACAGCTGAGGAATGAGGGGAGCATCTGAGGAATGCTTAACTCATAAATGGAACAATGCTTACCAACAGCATGCAGATGGAAAACACTGGAAAAACAGTGCAAAAGTAACATGATGGTTACAATTATGTTGAGAGTGAGGGTTCTGCTTTATGTTAAAAGAGATGTCAGAGAGGAAGAGAGGCTTAGGAAGCTGGGTCATAGCCCTCATATGCTGTTTAACACCTGACACCAAGGCCTAACCAAGGTTCATATCTCAAATGAAAAGAGAGGGGAATAAAAAAAGGAATAACCTAAGCCCCCAGCTCAGCCCACCTTCCGTCCTTTTTGGGATATCAGACTGCCCATCTGTCAAACAGCTCCTGTCATGATTGTGCACAATCTTAGAAATAAAAACTTAAGGAATCGTTATACATACAAGATCATTTAGTCTTTGCTCACAACATTCAATGACCTAAATTAAAGTAAGCATGTCTGACCAAAGAAATCGGACTTCCAACAGTCCGTGGGACTCACAGGAGCGAGGCCTCCTATATAAAATCATCCCCAAACAGCCAGCATACGAGTCCGTGGCTTCATCCCACATCCAGCAGATCAAGGGCCTCGAACTAAAGCAGTACTGACACTGACCTCACTGAGCCCGAGCAACTGAAACAGCCCTAACAAGGTATTAGCAGGCACCTCTGTATACCCTCCAACTCACAGCCCGGGTCTAAAGAAACACAGCTGCACGGGGTGTTTTCCAGGGCGGAGGGCAAACCTGCAAGCAACGTGGTGCCCCTGGCTAAGCTCAAGGGTGCAGCTGAAAGGTCAAGAATTCAAAGCAGTGTGGGGCAAAGTTTATAGAGATAATTTTTTTAAAGGCACTTTTTTCTCGCCAACGTAACCCATTTATTCCTTTCAATGTTTAGATATCAATTTATTATCTCCATCACCAGGTAGGTGCCTGGTTTTTTTATTTAATGTGTACACTATAAATATGTGCATTTCTTATTGTAATGGTATAAGTTCAGTTTGCCCTCTAAGACGGTTGTATAGCTGTGTGTTTTTCTGTGTGTATGCATGTGCAAGCACGTATGGCGGTCGTCTCTGTGTGACTGTGGGCGTCTGGAGGAGAGAGAAGCCTCATCTGTTACCAGCCCCAGCTCGGCCGGCCCGCCGCGTGAAGTAGAACGACAGGGTGTCACCGCCGACGACAGTGATGGATGCCCTAAATTCTGTAGGCAACTTGGGCAATTGGACACATTAACAACAGGCACCTGCTTTCCCCCGTACAAATCTATTAAAAGATAACAGCAATGGCGGCTCACACACTATTAGTAAATTATAGCTCTGTCTGAATGTGAGGTAAGTGTGGGCCGCCCTTGCTGTTATCTTTTAATAGATTTGTACGGGGGAAAGCAGGTGCCTG